AAAACCAAAGAGAGGGTGTTAAACTGTAAATATTTCTCTATTTGTTTAGATGAAAGCACTGATATTAACGACATATGCCAATTAATTATTTACGTAAGCACAACAGATAAATACTTCAATACTTATGAAGAATTTCTATCCGTAGAGTCGTTGCATTCCCATGCGAACGGAAAATCTATTTTTGAAGCAATAAGCAAATGTTTGTTTTCATTTGCAGATACAAATAAATTATCGGCTGTGTGTACAGATGGTGCTCCGGTTATGATTGGAAAAAATGAAGGTTTTGTGGGCTACCTTAAAAAAAATGAAATTGACATTCCATCATTTCACTGCATCATTCACCAGCAAGTTTTATTTTCGAAAGTTTTGAAAATGGCAGAAGTACTTAAAACGGCCACAAAAGTCATAAATAAGTTGAGAGGTGGGCACAATGCACTTTCTCACCGAAAATTAAAACTATATTTAGAAGAGGTAAATGCTGAACATGGTGATCTGCTTCTTTTTACCGATATTTGTTGGTTGAACGAAATTTACAGTTTCTTAATGTCGGGGAACTCTTCACTTGAAAGAGAACTAGCGCAAAATTTCAAAAGTCCAGAATTTTTGCTACCATTTGCTCTATTCTGTGATTTGTTGGCGTTTATGAATATACTAAACCTTTCGTTGCAGGAAAAACAAAAGAATTTTCGATCTTGTCTCTTCGGTGGATGAATTTTAAAGAAAATTAGATATTCTTCATATGCAATTTTCCAGTAAAAATTTGGAAAATTTCAAATTCACCACCGAAATTTTTATTACGTTTCCAAATTACGATTTGAGCCAATGCGACGAAATATTTACTTCACTAAAAGAACAATATAATAACAGATTTAAGGATTTTAAAAAAATAAGGCAACAAATGGTTTTGTTTTCAAACCCGATGCAATGCGAAATCGGACAGCAACCAGAAGAAATTCGGAACGAATTAGTGAAGCTTCAAAGCAATTTATTTGTACCTATAGAAACAGGCATCGATTTCTGGAAGAGTTTAAAAGCTGATTTGTACCCAAAAGTAATCGATCAAATATACAAATTAAATTCCATGTTTGGTACCACCTACTTATGTGAAAGTGCATTTTCCGTAATGAAAATAATAAAATCTAAGCACCGAAACTCTTTATCGGACCAGCATCTCAAAGACTTAATGATATTAAAATTACACCAAGA